GGGGTGGTCTTGAGGGGTGGCGGCTAGTCCCTCTTCGCCGTGCTTAATGGCTTTTTGAAGGTCTTCAAGGTCTCCAATCCGCTCAGACCTAATATACAACCCATATCCTAGATTTCTCTGTCTCTCTGCTCGATCGGGGTGGTCTTGAGGGGTGGCAGCTAGTGCCTCTTCGCCGTGCTTGATGGCTTTTTGAAGGTCTTCAAGGTCTCCAATCCGCTCAAACCTCATGTACAACCCATATCCTAGACTGTACTGCCTCTCTGCTCGATAGGCGTGGCCTTGAGGGGTGGCAGCGAGTGCCTCTTTGCCGTGCTTGATGGCTTTTTCAAGGTCTCCAAGGTCTCCTATCCGCCTAAACCTCCTAGAGAGCCAGGTTTCGAGGTTACTGTGCCTGGATGCCCGATCGGGGTAATCTTGAGGGGTGGCAGCTAGTGCCTCTTCGCCGTACTTGATCGCTTTTTGGAGGTCTCCAAGGTATCCTACCTGCTCAAACTTCCTGAACAATACCCATCCCAGGCATTCCAGTGCCCTCGCATTGTCCGGGTTACCAGCGCGGGTCAGTCTCACTGTCTCTTCATTTATCCTTACAGCCAATTCCAGATCCTTTATGTCACCAAGCTGCTCAAATCTTTCTCTCAATAATAGGCTCCGCACATTCAGCATATTACCGGGAGTGGGGTTTCCTAGAGGATATGCATCGATGGCTGTTTCCACCCGAATAATTGCCTCGTTGAGATCAGCCAAATTACCTAGCCGCGCATATCTTCTGTACAAATCCCCGCCTGGGAATCTGTACTTGCTGTGTATGCTCTCTAGATGACGCCGTATAGTGAGGATACTGCTGCATGCGGTTCGATAGTTGGTCATGTTTTGCGATGTTTTCTCTATCTCCTCCACTGCCCACACCCAAGCCATGTTGAGATCTCCTTCATCTTCCGTGTGCTCAAATTTGTCCCCAAACATTTTTCGCAGCTTAGCTGCCAAAACAGGTCTATTGGGGTGGTGGGGGGTCATTTTGGTAATTGCACTTTCTGCTAGTACAATTGCCCGATTGAGGAGGTTGACATCCAGGGTTTTCTCGTATTGAGAAAATAGAGCATCGCTGGCTTCCATCGTATCACGTAGATCTTGCTGGGACCCGTACACGCTAGGATCTTGTCTCAATGTTCCACTCCTAGAATCGCCAATATCCCTTGAACAGGATGTCTCTGTCATATCTTGTCCCTAAATCCTAATAGAATGTGGAATCTTGGCCTGGGTTCCGTCGTTTTTGCTGCTGATTAGCGCTTCGTTGTTCGTGGATCTGAGGTGTCTAATTGAACGGCGGTTGGTGATTAGTACACTGATTACTCAGCCGGAGGACGACGGGTGCTTGTTAAGATGGGACTTGGTAACTAACTGCGGCAATTAGCACCACTCAAGATGGATACTGGACTTGCTATTGCAATACCTATCGTGGCTGGTAGGGGACTCAGGCTTCCAAATGCCTCAACGTATTCAAGTATTCCTAATTCAGGGCTTTTTCCAAAGTCAAACACCTTCCTCGTGGAGCACAGCCTCTCACCTCCGCTTGGGTGCTTTGATCGCTCGGTTTAAGGCTCTGTTCTTAATCTTGAAGTTGTAGAGTTCTTGCGTAAGAAACACAAAGCCAGCCAATGCTTGGTGAACAAAGTCCTCTGCCTTTAACCTTACCAAGGGCTCGAGTACTTTATATTTAATAACGAGGGTGCTGGGTTATCAGACGCGGTGGGCGGAGTTCAGCCTGCTTCTTTGAAATTGGTAATAAGGGCAGGCTTGGGGAATGGGCTGTATCTCCTGCACACTGAGCCTCCCACACCATATTTGTGTGTGGGGATGCATACTAGGGACCGAGGTCTACCGCTCATCCATCCTGCTCCCTAAATTATGCACCCCCTGCCTAGCCTTGCTCGTTGTCCCCGGGAATGAACTGTGCTGTCTGTGGAAGTTATGACTACCTGCTGTTGAACAATGCATCTTCGCGTGATTCGCCCAGAGTCCGGAATTCTCGGTGAAAATCCCCTCATACGGAACCTGATCTACGGACCCCTTCCGGGCTGGAATTGCATGAGTATCTCGTACTGCAGCGACATCGTGGGTTGGTCTTTGAGCATTCTTGGTGGATAGCTGCCCCTCGCTGCCTCTCCTGTGTGTCTCAGCCTCCTGAGCCAACTTTTCTTATCTTCTGAGTTAAAAGGTGTGCGCCACTAAAATTGTCGTAGGGAAGAAGCAAGTTAATTTTTCACCCATCGAGGCTCCCAGCGCCTAGTTATTATAAATGATTGGACATGCGGTGGTGTAGGAATATCTACTGTACTAGTACAGCAGTTTAACCTGTGCAATGGGTTAAACTCACCCCTCCCAGAGGAAGGCTTTGGACAATGACCCCATCGTAATGGGCTAACGATGCGAAAGCCCATCCGGAAGGTACGGTACAGCTGAGCAGGCCGAGAAGGTATGGTGGAACGAACCGCCCCTGATATCACACTACGCAAGTATGATTAGGAAATCCCCTCTGACCCCCGTTTGAAGATGTACCTTATCTTAAACGCAATTATATCTATATGAAAAAACCCTTAGTGTTAAAGCTCGGGACCGCCTCGGTCTCTCTCCCGGCATGGATCCTATCGGCTACCAGGTACCACCTAATCAGGTAGAGAGACGAAGGAATCAAAATTTTTTGCCGCGTCAAAGTAGGGATTGCGCCGATCCCCCAGTAAAGGTCGCGGGAAGAGATAGAGCGCTGTTAGAGTTGACATCAGAAACCAAACCCAGTTGCATTGGTGTCTACATTTTGGTTTTTCGGAAAGCCGATATCTTAGCGATTCTGAGGCTGGGAGGGGTTCTGGAAGTTTGGGGTAATGTAGAGAGCCAATTTGTACTGTACAATACCAAGGCTAATTTTTTACCACCGGAAACTAGCTTGGGATATCTGGTTGGTCATGAGCTAAGGTGTTTTGCATCCGCTCAAGGTTCCTTGGATCCACTGGAACTCCTTATTTTCCATCTACTATTTCCACAAACCGTCTATGGTCGCCGTTTCCGTTTTTTTTCCATCCCAACCGGAGAACTATACTCGAACGCAAGGGTGAACTTCACCCCCGGAATGTCTTGACATTTTGGAGGGCAGTGCAGATATGACTACTGACTCCCGATTCCGGCACAGCCTCTCGAGAAACCTGGTTGGAGGAAGGAGCAAGAACTCATCGCTTAAGTTAGGTACAGCACGCATGAAAAAGTGCTTTTCAGGCAGCAAGCTTAACACGTGATCCATCGGGGGGATAATTTCTTATTTCGCTTCGGTAGAAGAACACAAGGCTGAATCAGAGCTTCCTTTGCTCCGGAATCAAAAGGTCGTGCCCAGTGTGGCTCCCCTTTGCTAGGCTACCGGTATCTCCTTCTCCCCCCCAAAACCCCACTCTCACCACCGACAGCCCCAAAATCCACATTAACAACTGACAGCCCGACTCGCAGTTTCCAGCACATCCGATGCACGCCATCAGCCATCGCGCCCTACCGCAACCCACTGTTCGCCTCGCTGAGCGCCGCATGCAGTGAACTGACTCCCGGCCCACGTTCACGCTAGTGACAGGGTCCGAGCGACAGAGAAAGCAAGTTGTTGACCTACCGGGCTAGAGTAAATGGAAAGTAAGTTTGCATGCATGTCTAGCGAAAGTGCCCGCTATTCACCACCATCAATGTCGTTTACCGACTCCACTCACCTTCCAGTCCCGATTGTGGTTGAGGGATCTGGGATGATCCATTGGCGTTATGACCCGGGATATTGATAGTGGGTTCTTAATTTAGGGTCCGCCGCTGCCTCTTAAACCATGCTGCTCATCTCCACTTCAGCCGCTGGAGCACGAACACCTATAAAAGATATAATTTAAGGGTATTTACCCTGGAATTCCGTTGATTAATGCCCAGTACTTCATCCTACAGCCTACGATGCCCCCGGCGCCGGTTAAAGGAAACCTACAGATCCCACTCGCATGCTCAGAGGAGTTGTCTTCATGTCGAGTCTTGGCGCTATCCTTCGCCTGGTCGGGGTTGAATTATCTGGGCGCTTAGGCGGGTTATTATTGATAGTATAGACTACTAGTACAGAGTATCTCTCCGGGTTTTCTACTACGTGGAATCCAGCATCCTGTCTTTGGGAAGAAGGTATAAACGGGTGGTGCGGATATGGGTGGTTAGTCATGTTGGTTTTTATCGCCGTTTGAAGTGTCCGAGTGCTTTAGATTTGCTCCCAGTTGATAGTGGTTTAGGCGCCGCAGCGTATGCTCTAGTCTGCAGAAAAAGTGGCCCATTTTTGGCCTCTCCGTGGAGCATAGGTATTCAAGCATTAGCACTGAAAATACCGGTATATCCCCCGCCGAAAGTTACCCTCATTCGTTATGCCCGGCACCGTACCCAGATCGCGGCGAGCCGACTGGCTTTACCGCCCACCTAGATTCGAGTAACCCTCTACAGAGTCCATACCATGATAGCGTCTACAACATTGTATCTCTTGAAACAAGTCTTTCCGGAACCACCTCAGGAGGGCATCGGTACTATGTAAAGTTGCGCCTCCCAGTTGGCGGTATTTTCCGAAAGCTCCGCGATCAGCCACCATCCGCTGCCCTTCTCCAGCAACTTCCACACCTTCAACATCTAGGAATAGGCCCCTACGATCTGACCCATTTGACGGAGAATTTGTCCCCAGCACTCCGGTGTATATACCACCACCCCGACTTTGGAGACTTTGGAGATTTGCTTCTTACCAAACCCGGAAAAGGGCGTGTCTACCCGCACCGTAAAGGCTAACCTTCACTCTACCGCTCTTGGGCTGGGTGTTAACAATGAATTGGTGTAGGAAATTTTCATACCGGGGGCGACAAACTCTAGTTTCTCTAACTCTAGGATATCTTATCATACTCGACTTCGCTTACCAGAGACAGGAGTCCCTGGTTAGTACTGGTAATTTCGTTAACTGTTTTGTCTTCCTCCCCTGTATAATGCGCCGGCAGTAGAGGGACAAGTACGGTACCACTCCCAAGGACTGAAGAACTCTTTTCAGGTTGTAAAGCGCAATTACTGTGCCTATAACGAAGCGATATTTTCTAATTGTTCTATGGATACAAAAATTGCTTCCCCTAACCGAAGCCGTATTTCCGTTCACTTGGTGAATAGAATGACCAGCATGGTTTCCATAGTTAGAAGCGATAGGTATGCGGCCATTTATGAATGCCGGTACCGATATCCCTTCCATCGCAACCTTCCACTATCTCCGTCCCTCCTTTTCTTTTATTGGCCTTTTGTTCGTAGGTGCCGCCGCCCGGGCCCCTACATATATCTAGAAACGGTATACATCTGAAGCGGGGGGTACCCCCTGGGATCGCGGCCCACCACTCACCCGCTACATACGCCCTCTCGTAATGAGTAAGAAGGAACCCGGTACACCAGTTTCCACCATTCCCGTCCCGAAGCCAATGGTATATAGCTCAACACAGCTCCCGTGGACCTAAAGGGTAAAATTCTAAGGAAATACAATGGGCATACACAGAAAGAAAATGCATACAAGGAGGTTTCCGTCTCCGATGGCCATCCTAATGAGTCCCTTAGTTGAAAACCTCCTGTGATAGAGGGTCTAACTTTACCTTTGGTTCCCATCTGCAAATATGAGAATCCGACCCGAACAAGACCCCTGCAGCAACGGTAGAGAGGTAAACAGAGCGAGCGAGAGAGGTGAATGTAGTAAACCCCTTCACATCAGA